TGCTGACGCTGCTGACGATGCTGACACTGCTGACGCTGCTGACGCTGATGCTGATGATAACGCTGCTGCTGATGATGATGACGCTGCTGATTCTGATAATACTGACGCTGATGCTAATGATGCTGATGCTGACGGTGCTGCTGACGATGCTGCTGCTGTCGTTGATGATGCTTATGCACACACTGACGATGCTAATGTTGGTGACGCTAATGACGCTGATGATGACGCTGACGTTGATGATGCTGATGATGACGCTGATGATGATACTGCTGACGCTGATGACACTGATGCTGACGCTTATGACGCTGATAATGATGCTACTTCTGACGTTGATAATGTTGCTAACGCTGATGACGCTGATGATGACACTGATGATTATGCTGTTGATGCTGATGATTCTGATGCTGATGAAGCTGATGCTTATGATGCTGCTGACAATGTTGCTGCTGTCACTGACGATGCTAATGCTGACGCTGGCGTTGATGAAGCTGCTGACGCCGATGATTCTGAAATTGACGCTGATGATGATAGTGCTGATGCTGGTGAATCTGATGCTGAAACTGCTGTTGCGATGCTGATGCTGCTGATGTGGATGTTACTGATACTAATGCTGCTGACACTGATGCTGATGTTGCTGAAGCTGATGCTGATGTTGATGCTGCTGATGCTGAGGTTGCTCATACTGATGATGATGATGCTGATTCTGATGTTGATGCTGCTGATGCTGATACTGATGAGGCCATGCTTATGCTGCTGATGCTGCTGATGCTGCTGATGCTGCTGATGCTGAATCTGATGCTTCCGTCGCTGACGATGCTGATTTTGACGCTGACGCTGATGAAGCTGCTAACGCTGATGACGGTCATGATGACGCTGACTCTGATGATATTACTGATGCTGCTGATGCTGCCGATGCTGCTGATGCAGTTGCTGATTCTGATGCTGCTAATGCTACTGATGCTGCTGATACTGCTGATGCTGCTGATGCTGCTGATGCTGATGATGCTGTTGATGCTGCTGTGGTTGCTGACGCTGCAGATGCTGATGCTGACGCTGATAATGCTGATAATACTGCTGATTCTGATACTGTTGAAGATTTTGCAGCTGATGATGGTAATGATGCTGATGATGCTGATGATGCTGATAATGCTGATGATGCTAATGATACTGATAATGCTATTGCTGATGCTGCTGAAGCGGATCCTGATGCTGATGCGGATGCTCTTTATGATAATTCTAATGGTGCTTGTGACGCTGACGATGATGCTGAAAATGTTGATTCTAATGATGCTGATGCTGATGCTGCTCATACTGATGCTAATTATGCTGATGTTTATGCTGCTAAGCTGATGCTGATGCTGATGCTGACGCTGATGCTGATGATGCTGATGCTGATGATGCTGATGCTGATGATGCTGCCGGTGCTTCTGATGCTGCTGATGCTGCTAACGCTGATGACGCTGATGATGCTGATGATAACGTCGATGATGATATTGCCTATGCTGTTGATGTTGATGATAACACGGATGATGCTGATGATAACGCCGAAGATGATATTGCTGACGCTGATGATGCTGATGATGACACTGATTATGCTGATGTTGCAGTCGATGCTGCTGCTGTCGCTGACGATGCTAATGCAGACGCTGACGATGATAATGCTGCTATCGCTGATGACGCTGATGATGATGATGATGA